AATTTCTGATTGAGCACCAAGATGACATGTCCTCAAGCCCACTCTCAGAGACCTCCCTGTGAATCTTCAGCAGGAAGCAGCTACAATTTCTCCCTTTTTGTTTTGATATAGGTACCCAAAGCCTCTTATCAAAACAAAAAGGGAGAAATGTTAGCCTGTTAACATAACTATGGAATAATTTAGAAGTTAAGTCAAGCTGACCTCAATCTGATCAGACATCTCCCCTTGCTCTGCCCCCGCCCCCTTCTGCAAGAGCCCACTCACAAAGAAGCTAACACCCCCACCCACCTGCACCCCCTCCACAATGCTCACAGACTTTCTGAGTATGTATAGAGGCTGCCAGTTCAAGAACTTGGTGGCAGTATATTGGCTCCTCCTGCCCCCTCCTCTTTGTGGTTCTTGAGATTTTGAAGCTTGCTCTCCAACTGTAGTAGCAAGGGCTAAAACCACCCCCAATGTGTAACCTAGATTCTGACTTACAAAGGTTTGGCTCAGAAGAAATCTGCTGTTGTTCTCCCTGTGCAGAGACAGTCTGACAATAAATTTGCTTCTGCTTAGCTCTGGTGTGTTCCAGTGGTGAGTCCTGTGCCAGTTTCCTTACCTATACTATCAGCAATGTAAAATATTCAAAAGCATACTAGTCCACAGATTAAAAAGCTTAACTACCTTGAAAAGCTGTTTCTAAGTCGGTTCATTGTCACAGACCAATAGGTCACTAGTAGAAAATAATCAGCGTAGGAATATCGTGTCCTCTGTAAGATTCTACATGAAATTTGGAAAAGATTACCCTTGTTTTGCTTTTAAGACGACCGCTTCTGTCCAGCTGGAGAAACAAGTTTGGGAACCATTAGGCTTCACGTACACGTTGTCAAGACTGGCAGAAATAGCTGCACTTGCCACTAGACGGCACTGTTGCCAAGCGTGGTAGACTCCATTTGTGATATGCCTATTAGTTACTTGTCCTTTGGAAGGCAGGATAGACTTTGACAATCATATATACACACAAAATACATAACTACTAACTGTGACAAATACTGAAACTCAAATTGGATTTGAAGATACCAATGAAATGGATTACCTTTTAAAAAGCGAAATCCTGGGAAAACAGGAACTATAAATATGTGGACCCTGTCTAGAATTTTACCTGGTTATTTCTAACTCACATAACCTCACTCCGTCTCTGGAGGTAAGATCTAAGAGTCTGCCTAATGATTCTAATAAACCTAAATAATTTTGATACAGGCAGTCATCAGCTTGTAGTACTTTAAAAAAAAACCACTTCTCAGTAGAGTTATTCTTAACCTCTCATTTGGGTAAGAACCACTTTAAGAACCAATGAGAAATGGGAGTTCATAATCCACTTGAATCAAATGTATGAAATATGATATGTCAAGAGCTTTGTAATGTTTTGAACAACTAATAATAAAATAATAAAAAGAATAAAAAGAACCAATGAGAAATTGTACTTTCTCACACTTTATTTTGGTGGTAATATCTTAGGATTCATGGATGTCTAAGAATAGCTACTGCACCTACCATGGAAAGAGGGAAGTACAATGTGGTGCCAGATGGATTCTTCCAGAATTTTAGTTGTGTAACCTCAAGGTTCTAAACTAAGAAGAAAAATTTGAAGACATAAAGTGCACTCTGCTGTTGGAATGAGAATGGTGAGAAAGCAGAGGTGCTGTGTGTGAATAGGGAGCGGTGCAAGGGAGCAGGCCCCGAAAGGCCCCAAGAGGCAGAGAGGAGTAGCAAGGATGGTGGAATGTAATGGACATCATTATCCAAAGTACATGTATGAAGACACAAATTGGGTGTCAACATACTTTACATACAAAGATATGAAAAATTGTGTAAATATGTGTAATAAGAATTGTGATGCATTCCGCTGTCATTTTTTTAAATCAATAAAAAAAAGAGAGGATTCAGCCTCTGTAAATGCACTCTGCTCATCTTTCTGTCGACTCCCTCCGCTTTTTGTCCTTTGTGCCTCTTGTACAGTGTACACATGCAAACCCTTAGGATTCATCCTCTTACAACAGTTGAGTCTTTTGTCTCCATACCTGGTCCACACTCTGAGGTAAAATTGACACAGAAGCATTCTGAAGATGGAGCATCGTCATGAAAAGGCACTGAGAAAGTCACAGGTGACTTTGGGTGAGTACCCAGCCTATCTGATCTCATTCTCCCGTCTGTAAAATGGGACTGGTACTAGTTCCTAGCATATTTCATAGACTTTTGTGTCTAAGTAAGTACATAAAAAATATAAATACTGAAGTGCCATCCAGATGTTAAGGAACTATGTATTCTGTGGTTATGTGTAGAGTATTAAAAGATTCAAGCAATCATTGTGTAATGAGTATATCCTGGTGGGAAAAAAATTAATGTACCCATAAAGAACAATAGCAAATAGGAGGAAAACAGCATTGTAACTTCCCACCATACCAGTGTTCACAGTCCTAGCTGCAGTCTAGAATTATCCAGAGATCTTTTAAAATAACCATGTTCTAAGCTGGGCACATTGGTGCACGCCTGTAATCCCAGCAGCTCAGGAGGCTGAGACAGGAGGATAGTGAGTTCAAAGCCAGCCTCAGCAATTTAGTGAGGCACTAAGCAACTCAGTGAGACCCTGTCTCTAAATAAAATACAAAATAGTGCTGGGGATGTGGCTCAGTGGTTGAGTGCCCCTGAGTTCAATCCCTGGTACCAAAAAACAAACAAACAACAACAACAAAAAAAAAAACTGATGTTCTAAGTGCAGTTGTATATCCTGGTTTGAATCTTGAAGCAGAGAAAAGACATCAGTATAAAAATTAGTGAAAACCAAATAATGTCTGTAGTTTAGTTAATGGTAATGTAATTATCTTAACTTCTTAGTTTTGACAAATGGACCATGGTTCTGTAAACTATAACATTAGCAAAACTTTGGTGAAAAGTCTACAGGAACTTTTAAAATATCTTTACAGCTTTTCTGTAATTATAAAATTATTTCTTAAAAAATTATTTAAAGCACAACTTAAAAATAAATGGACCATGTACAGATGTCATCCAAGATAGGGGAATCAGAATCCCCTGAGGTAGCTGGGCATGGTGGCACACTCCTGCAATCCTGGTGGTTTGGGAGGTGGAGACAGGAAGATGACAAGTTCAAAGTCAGCCTCAGCAATTTAGGGAGGCCCTAAGCAACTTAGTGGGACCCTGTCTCCAAATTTAAAAAATAACATAAAAAGGGCTGAGGATGTGGCTCAATGGTTAAGTGCCCTTGAATTCAATCTCTTCTACCAATAATAATAATAATAATAAAATCCACAGGGGAGGAATCTGGACATGGGTATTTTTAAAGTCTTCTGCAGTGATTCTCATGTGCTGTGAGGGTTGAAAGAACCAGTGCTCTGTACCATGAATGCCCGAGGGCCTGGGATCCTGTATTTTTCAATATAGCCTTGTACCTAGCACAAGACCTGTATGGAGAGTTTGTGCAGTTGTCTTCTTGCAGAATGAACCTTTATTTGCAAAAAATATCCTTTACTATTAGTCCCCTGTAATAGCAGAAGGAAAACTTTTCAGATATCTTCCTACCAAGAATAGCTGCTATTCCTGCCTCTGGATTTTTGGTCACTTTCAGTTCTTCTTGACCATTATCACCAGATGAATGTTCCTAAATTACAAAAACTGCCACTCCACTTTCAACAGTCTCCCTGTAGCCTATCAAGTGATATACTTCTTAGGTTTGCAGATTTCTCTACTCTCCAACTATAGATTAGCTAACAAAAGACATTTAGCATGCAAGCCAACTCGTCCACGTGGGCTTTACATTAACTGTAGTTTGTATGCAGCTGCCTCAAACATGTCTTAAACGCATGCTTCTCAAACTGCTGTTCTCACTTGTGCAAATCTTCCCCTCATTCAAAGTTCTACTCCAGGGTCTGGGGGTGTGGCTCAAGCGGTAACGCGCTCCCCTGGCATGCGCGGGGCGCTGGGTTCCATCCTCAGCATCACACAAAATAAAATAAAGATGTTGTGTCCACCGAAAAGTAAATGTTAAAAAAAAAAAAAAAGTTCTACTCCACCCACAGGCGACCATTCCTTCAACTGTATCTACTATTCAAATGGCACTGGTACTTAGTATTTTCTTCCTTTCTTTCCATTTTTTTTCTCTTTATTTTTTTTTTTAATATTGGAGTTTGAACCAGGGCTTCACACACGCTAAACAAGCAATCTATCACTGCCACATCTCAGCCCTCCTGGGATAACTTGTTTTCTGGTTTATTCCTCATGAGGCTAAATCAAAACTCCTGAAAAGCAAGGACTATGTGCCATATAGGACTTCCAGCCCCCCTGGGACTACCATGATGCTGTCCACACAGTTAAGCATGTAGTAATGCTTTAATGTACATTTTTCACAAATACAATATTTAAAAAGTAAAAATAAAAAATCCAAACTCAAATACAAAAGTAGACTATGTTCATCATCATTCCCAAATATCTTTAAAAAGTCCCAGAACAAAAATTATTCAAATTAGCTAAAAGAACCAACTAAAGACTAAATAAAAATTGGATGTTATTGTGACATCAATAATTGAACACAAAATACAAGAAAACTATATACTCCCCAAATTTTAAATGTCAAGATTTAGTCAATTACCAGTTCTTAAGAATTAATCAAATAAATGTTTGTTCTTAGAGGGAAAATCAATTATTCACCCTTTCTTTTGTCTCTTCCTTCCACAACTGGATATATATACACATACCCACACGTACACACACACACACACACACACACACACACACACACACGCACTTTTAGCAGAATATTGTCTATGTTAAAGCCTTAAAACATGTTAGTCCTCACACTCAAATATGTCCTACAAATGGAAAAAAAAACTAGGTTAAATTATTAATGAAAATTACAGAGATTTCTATAATATTTTGAGAAAATCACACACATAACATATTAAGATGGACTTTCCATTGGAATACAACTTTATGGTTGAGCATTGTTAAAACAAAACATAACTATAGACATCATTTTCTGGATGAATTTCTTGAGGATCATGTGGAATTGCTGGTATTTCTTGTTCTTCTACTTTGGGTTTTTCTTTCACTTCTGAAAAATCAAATGAAACACAAAAAGAGGTTCAATAAATAGTATTGGAACAATTGAAGGAGAAAAAGCAACCTTACCTCATACCATTTACAAAAATAAATTTCAGATGAAGTAAACATTGAAATATTAAAATATCATGTTATGGAAGTAACAGGTTTTTTTTCTAATCTTAGGATTTTAAGCAAGACACAGACCAGAAAGGAAAAGAGTAACAAGTTTGGATTCCTAAAAATTAAAATTCTATATGGCAAAACCCACTATAAGCAAAATTAAATCACAAACAACTGGAAAAATGTTTATAATATATATTTAGAAGAATTAAAAGAATTTTTTTTTCCCTAGGCAAGCACTCTACCACTGAGCTATGCTCCAGCCCTGGCAAAAATTTTTAAATGTTATATGCAGTGCTAACAAGGATACAGGGAAAAGACATTTATATAAATTTTGGTGTGTGTGAACTGCTACATTTCTGGAGACTAGACTTACTGAACATATTCAAATGAAGAGTACTCTATGGGCCCAGCAATTCAACTTCTAGGACACACCCAAAGGAAATAATCAAATAAGTTTCCAGTGCCTTGTTTCCTCCTATATAAAGTGGGAATATTATTTAAACTAACATGGTTTGAAAAGTTGAATAAATTAATTCATGTAAAATATTTAATACAAGGCATATAGAAAGTACTAAATTCATGTTACATAAGTAAATCGGACTCCCAATGATGTTCAATGAACATTGTTGTAATAGTAAAACTTGGCAGTAATCTGAATGTTGATCATTGTAGGAATTGATTGGACAAATTATTGTCCCTACATAGAGCATAATACTTTGCAGCTGTTATATAAGATATCATAAAGACGGCCACAATACATAATATAAATGAAAGTTACGGCAAAGAATTATAGTACTAGCTCATTTGTTAAAATAAACTTTAACACTTGGGGACTGGAGATGGATGGTATCATCTGCTCCTGAAGAATATTCACCTGATACATACCAAGAAACACCTGGGCTATATTCACTTTAAATTGCTTGAATTTATTATAATATATCTTTATTACTTTAATAATCAGCAAAGAAGTAGATATTCCCATTTGTTTGGTGAGATAAAACCAAAAATAAAATGAGCATTAATTGCATGCCCATATTAGCAAGCAACTGTTAGAAACCCGGGGGTTTACCTGGGTTAACCAGGTAGAACAAGAACTGCTCCCGTAAGGACAAGTAGAGCTTCATGCGAGTTCTTTTTAAAATGTATTTCTTTTTAGTAGTATCTCAAAACCTGCTTTAATTGGAAGCCGGCTAACTTCATGTTTTTGTTGTACTCATACTTTAGCAGAAAGAGCAAATAAGCTACCAAAGGGCTTTCTTTTGAGAAAGATTTCCTGGAGGGTAATTCTGACCTAATAGACTTGCCCATTTCTCTTTCTTTCTTTTCAGTTTTTATTTATTTTTATGTTGTTGTTTTTGTGGTCTAGAGATCATGCATGCTAGGCAAGTGCTCTACAACTGAGCTCACCTCTCAGCCCTTAGCCCATTTCTTATCTGTTTATATAGTAAAATACAAAGAGAATCAGTGTTCTCAGTTTTATCCAAAGCAAACCAAATTAAAGAAAGGTTGGTCATATTATTTTCAAAATACAATACTTGGGGAAAAGCTTTTCAGGAACAAATTTGGGTTTTTGGTAAACCCATTGAAATTTACAAGAATGAGGGCTGGGGATGTGGCTCAAGCGATAGCACGCTTGCCTGGCATGCGTGCGACCCGGGTTCGATCCTCAGCACCACATACCAACAAAGATGTTGTGTCCGCCGAGAACTAAAATAAAAAAAATATTAAAAAATTCTCTCTCTCTCTCTCTCTCTCTCTCTCTCTCTCTCTCTCCTCTCACTCTCTCTTTAAAAAAAAAAATAAAAAAAATAAAAAAAAATAAAAAAAAAAAGAAATTTACAAGAATGAGTTCCCTAGCATCCTTAGTACCTTGTATTATGAATTTCCTTGCCTTTAGTTTATCAGGAAAATTCCATTTTTCAGAAAACTTCATTCATTAAGCTTTCTTGTTAATCTCAATTGTCCTTCTAAAATATTCTGAACATAATGCATACTATATACTGGGATTCATTTCACTGACTATAGATTCTCAAAATGGATAGTATGCAAAAGTACCTACATACAGGCTTGCATTTCAATTATTTTCTTTTAATCCTTTGGAAATGTGCCAACACAGAATGTTGGTTGCATGAAAATGTATTTTACTTGAAATTATCCAATGATAGTTATTGTGCCACTGAAATAAGTAGTTATCATCAAAGAAGCCTGTAAATTAAGACTGGCTGAAATGTACCTATGAACAGCCCCCTACCTTGAGGGAAAGTGTTACCATCCTTAGCCTCTTCCTGGGCTGCTTTAGGATCCTGGCCTTGGGGCCAAACTGCTTCTGCACTTGGTTCTGGAAGGCACTGTTTAGGCGAATCCGAATTCTTATATGTCTTAATGGAGAGGTCTTCAGGCCCAGATGTCTCAGGTGAATATTCTTCAGGCCCAGGTGATTCTTGGTTTGTGTCAGGTGAATATTCTTCAAGAGCAGATGTTTCTTGGATTGTTTCAGGAGAGGAGGTTTGATGCGCAGTTATTTCTTTTTGTGTTTCATAAGGGAAATATTCAGGTTCAACTGTTTCTTGGCATGTTTTTGTAGAAAGATCTTTAGGCACAACTATTTCTTGTGTTTCGGGAAAAAAGCTTTTAGTCTCAGCTGTTCCTTGATCTGGTTCGGAACTGAATTCCTCTAATCCAGCTGTGTTTTGGTAAGTGTCAAGAGGGCACCCTTTTGGCACATCTGGTTTGGGGGATGCTTCAGGAGAGCAACCTTCCAGATCAGCTACATATTCAGATGTTGTAGAAGGAAGAGTTTGGGCACCAGCTGTTTCCTGACACATTTCAAGAGAGAGAACTTTGGGTTGGGTGCTATTTTGCCACATTTTGAAAGGATGATTTTGAACTATAGCTATTTCTTGGCAAGTATTAGGAGTAAGGACTTGGGGCTCAGCCATGTCTTGACATTCTTCTGGACAATGGTCATGAGGTGCAGCTGATTCTTGGCACATTTGGGGAGAGAGGGTTTCAGGTGCAGCCAAAGATTGGCCTGTTTCAGAAGAATGGTTTTGTAGTACTGTTTCTTGGTACTCAGAAGAGTTTTCCTCAGRCATGATGTTTTCTTGGTGTGTTTCAGAAGAATGTTCCTTGGTCACAATTTTTTGCAGGGAGACTACCATCACCCGCCCAGGCGGCTCAGTTTCTTTCTCTGAAGGTGCCAGTGCTTTCCCCATCGTTTTTTTTTCTCTTCGTGACCRAGGCTTCACCTTCAGTTCTGCATTTTGTTGTCTCTTTTGGCCTCTTTGTCTTCCTGTTTTCTGCTGCCTGCGTTTTTTCTGTTCTCTGCAGAAAGATTAGAATTAGTGTCAGCAACAGGGCTACAGAGTGCAAACGCTTCTAATAACAGTCCCAGGTCCCTTCCAGCCTTGTTGCACAACCTTGAACAACTCACTCAATTTTTCTGGGTCTCAGTCTCCTTGTTTGTAAAATGAACAGTGCTAGAATGTTCTAAATTGTTAGGAAATGTTCCTTCAGGACTTTTTGGCTTTGATGACTTGCTTACCAGTGTACTGTGTGTGTGTGTGTGTGTGTGTGTGTGTGTTTGATTGTGTGTTCTTAAAGTTTGGTCATGGAAAATGCATAATTCCTGTTATAAATTGAGAACATGGGGACTGGGGCTGTGGCTCAGTGGCAGAGCGCTTGCCTAACACATATGAAGCACTGGGTTCRATCCTCAGCACCCTATAAAAATAAATAAGTAAATAAAATAAAGTACGATGTCCATCTACAAGTAAAAATATATTGGGAAAAAAAGAACATGGCATTCTGGTTTATACATTCATCTCTTGGGCTGTCTGTGTGAGGCAGCCCTATTGTCTCCTAGGTGAAGATACAATTGAGTTTCTAGATCTACGATTGAGGCAGGACTCCTCATCTGCAGGCGGATGGTGTGTCTGGCTTGCTTGTCTGTTAGTCTTCTGTAAAGAACTAAGGAGCTACAGTAGCTATCACATGAGGTTTACTGTAAATGGAGTCAAAGCTGCAAAAACAAAAAAAAATTTTTTTCTTTGAGGTTAAAATGCTTGGTGGAAAGACCTTAGTGGCCATATTATACCTAATTAATGCATTAAAGATCTAGAAGATGAAAGGACTTGTCCGGAAATTTAAGCCAATGACAAATTGTTAGGCCCTGCGAATATAACCAAATACAGATGGCTAATACAGATGGGCTGGGGGGTGGGGAARGTACTATAAATAAGCATTTCATCATTTTTCTAAACCTATTGAAATTCTGTTCCACACTACCCGCTCACGGAGCCTTCTCTAACAGAACACGGGGCTGAAATGCTTTTCTTGCTTCCTTCTCCTGAAGGATTTATTGTATCTTGCTTAAGGCAAAGAACATAGGCTGCCCRTACTTCGTTCTTTCTGGAGAGACCATATTTCTTTCAGTAAGCGAGGCATTCTTTGGAAATGAAACCAGTGTGTCTTGTGTTTTTATAGGCTCAGAGTTCCTCACACATTTAAAAGATATATACCTTGTTCTGCATTTGGGTGTGTTTGAAATTCTTTATAATAAAAAAGTTTCTTAAAAGATTACCTCACCAAAAACAGTTTGAAGTCAAGATAAAAAAKTGTATATGTACTTAGTGCAAAGTAAATATTTAAAATCATACAGAAGAAAAGGAAAATTGAAGTGATGGTTATGACAGCTTTGAACTATTACTCCAAGTAACCAAGGTAACAAGACAGGTTACAAGGTTATTGTCAAGTTAAMAAAAAATGATGGTATATCTGAATTCTTCAGGAAACACTTGTTCTTACTTATTAATTACTAAATAACTTAGTTCATAGATCTCCATATRAGGAGATCTGGATAAAATAATGGGTAAAATAAACTTAAGTCTGTACTTTCTCATGGTCATGGGTAAGACACTAAAGCTTTCTATGCCTTAGCTTCCTTTTAGGTAAAATGAAGTAAATAGTGTCTCCCRAACTTAATATGGTAGTTGTAAGAATAACCTATAATAATTTACATGAATGCATCATTCAAATACAGTACAAATTATTACTCTCATATTAATACAGGAAACACTTATAGACCTTCCTATGTGTCTGGCACTGTCGTAAGGAATCTACTTTTTCTCTTATCTCATATAATCTTCACATTAGCCTGGTGGTGGATACTATTATCTCTATTTTGCAGGTGACAAAAYTGAGGCACAGAGAGGTTGAATAACTTGTCCAAGGTTAACAGCTTGGAAGTGGGGGAGTCAGGCTTCAAKTCTAGTTGTTCTGTGGCTCATCAGTCAGACGCTTAACCTTTACACTCTGCTGCCTTTCTCTGAAATCAGTAAGATTTCACTGTACCTTATGGTGAGAAAAGGGAACAGCATGGAGAGGGTCATCAGAGCAAGTCTAGCCAGGTGCCAAGGTCACTAAGGCACCATCTACTTCAGTGAAGTCCTCAACTTTGTCCTCTCAGTTCATTAAGCTCAGAAAACCAATTCTGTCAGCACAGTGATACTATCTCTATTTATCAGAGCTCATCAACAAGACTCAGAGAGATTGAAAGATAAACTTCAAGACCAATTTTTAAGTGAACAGTGAGCAATACAGAGCGATACACCAGAGAATACTTGGACTGATGGACAAGTGCAAGGTAAACAGATGCTCTCTTTCTCTGGAGGCAAGTCCTTGGGAAACCAAGTAATGATCAGGAGGTTATCACTGGGTGTAGGGCTGGGGAGCTAATTGAATAATCTTTAACAGAGTCACTGTCATGAGACCCAGGGATGGAGTTTCTGCTTTAAAATCATGTGTGTGCATTCCTGAAAACCCTTACTCTCTGCAAAACCACGCACAAAGAAATAACAGTGGCCAGGCTCAGTAGCACACACCTGTAACCCCAGTGTGTTGGGAGGCTGAGGCAGGAGGATCAAAGCCAGCCTCAGCAACTAAGCAACTCAGTGAGACCTGGGCTGGAGATGTGGCTCAGTGGTTGAGATCCCTGAGTTCAATCCCCCATAACAACAACAACAACAAAGACAAAAAAACAGTGACTATGGGGGGAGGGGTGGGGAGGAGACTTGGGACAAACCCTGCAAAACCTATGCAACTTTTGAACACTAACAGAAACAATTGGCACCAGGGAGCTACCTTGGTTGGTCCAGACAGGCAGTTTAGCATGGCTGGAGGCTACCTCGGGTAAGAATGTGGAAAGGCAACAGAGTCATTTCAGGCTCACAGTTGCTGAGACCTGAGCTCTGAGCCACTAAGCTGGGCACAGGAACAAGTGCAAGCTGCCACATGGTGGAGAGCAGAACATGCAAGGCCAGCATGTGTCTCTCTGGGAGGAAGGCCCAGGYGCGGGCTTAAGAGGTTCCTGCTTTCACAGCAGCCAAGCCACAGTCTTCCCTTCCTGCCGAAGGTTTCCGTTCTGTTCCTACTGTTCTGACTCCTTCTGACAAGGAAAAATGAGCCAACACAACTTCCACACTGTACTGACATCATTTTCCTATTTGCCAATCATACGTAAGTTAATTGGTGTTGCAGGAACATCTGTGCCAGCAGAGYAGCCAGCACTCTTCTGGGGGGAGTGACAAATGCCCTTTCTCAAGGAATGCTTTGCTTAGATCAATGGTTAGAAACAGAGTGATTTCTGTCGCCTCCTTCCCACCCCACCTTGCCCCAGAAGCATTTGACAACGACATCTAGAGACATTTTGCCCGTCACAACTGGGGTAGGAGGAAGGAGGTGCTGTTGGTATATACAGACCAGAAAATGCCACCAAGCTTCTAGGTATCAATATGGGTGGTATCAATAGAGCTGAAGCCCAGAGCCTCTGGCTTGGATGGGTGCTGTATTTTGGGCTTTGGGGGCACCTGTTTTCTTTCTGCATTCAAGCAAGTCTCCTATGGTCACAATCCTATTCTAAATGGATGCAGTTAGATGCTGCCTGATTGATCATGTTCCTCTCTTTCCTCCCTGAGTCACTTTGAGGGGAGATTTAGAACTCCTAAACTCTGTCACTCATGCACAAGGTTTGGGTTTACTCTGAGGAGAGTTCATCAAATTCGCTCCGCAAACCTTTTACTAGCAGAGATATATATCCTCTACCGTGGTCCCCACTCCCCATGACAAGATGCTCCCATGTTTCTATCCAACAACAGGCTTCTCTACAGTATAATTTGGTTGGCCATCCAGTGCTTTAATAAAAAGCAGAGACAAGGAATAAAATTCTATTGCCACTACTTTACGTTGTGACTCTAGGCAAAAGATTTAACCCAGTGGAGACTAGTTTCCCATTTTTGTAAAATAGGAACACTTGATTGACAGATTGTTGTGAAGGTTGAGTATGACGTGCTTCTTCCCGTGTAACATATGCTCAACAAAGAGTTCCTTTCCCCTTGTCATGACACCATACCCAAGTAGCCATTGTGAAGTTTGCTTCTCTTGTGCTTCAGCTTTCCTTTTTCTGAGCTGTTCTCTGTTGCGCAAACTCCAAGTTCCAATGACATCTGTAGGATGAAAATGGAAATTACTGAAGAGATTGATGACACGTGGCATTGGTCAGCATGGAGGAGCATACACCTGTAATCCCAGCTACTTAGGAGACTAAGGCAAGGAAGTAGCAAGTTCAAGGTCAGCCTAGTAAATTAATGAGATCCTGACTCAAAATGAAAATAAAGAGGGCTGGGAATGTGGCTCAGTAGAGAGCCCTTGGGTTCAGGGAGAAAAAAAAAAAAAACCTATTGCAAAGTGGTAAAATCCCTATGGCTGAGTTTTGTTTTGTTTTTTTTTTTTTTCCCTAGATTTTTGAGGAAAGGGGCCATTTCTTAATTATCCTTGTCRCTCCAGACAGAGAGCCTGGAAGCAGACATTCAGTAAACAGTTTTGAGCTAAAAGATCAAAAATCTATTCAGAAATAGTGTTTGCACATAAGTGTRCTCCCAACCTATTAGTTTCTTAAAAAAAAATTATTTTTAGATGGGGTCTTGTTATGTTGCCCAGGACGGTCTTGAACTTGTGGGCTCAAGCTAGCCTCCCCCACTCAGCCTCCCAGGTAGTTGGGACCACAGGCATGTGTCATCAGACCCAGCCAAAATAATCTTACATGTTGAACAATAATAAAAGGAAAAACATCAGCCATGTTCTGCCATCTTTAACATAATAACTTGTTTTCATTTTACTCCTCATTTCCATCCAGGTCCTAGACACAAGATTGTAATAATTGCATACCATGATTTTATCTTTTTGTTAACCTAACATTATACCACAAGATTTTCCATGACATACCCTCCATAACTATAATTTTAATGATGACATGGTACTTAATCTAGCTGATGCTTTCTAGTTTACCCATTTACCCTGCCTGTCTTGAGCATTTAGGTTGTTGGGAGGTTTTTTGGCTTGTTTGTTTCTGTTTTTGTTCTGTCTTGTATATCAAACTATAACATATAACATAATATAATTCATTGCAGACAGCTTTTTAATTTTCTCTCAGGATGGTGTTTCTTCAAGATCTTTGGAATATTAAGAGTGTTAATCAGAATTTCTCTTGCCATCCAAGTTTGAGGAAAGTTAATGGTTCTTTAATGTAGAACTTCTGAGAGCCTTTGCAGGGATGTAAATCTGCCCTTGACCTCCAAGTAGAAGAGTGTGCCCCTTGAACCACAGCACCTTTGGTTCTTAGGACAAGAATTTTTCTTGGGGAAAAATTACACTATACATTTATCTTTTCCAACCTCTAATTAAAATTACACTGCCTTCAATTATGAATGTTAGGTAACACACCATGGTAGTTTTAATAGTGTGTGACTTGGTCACTAAAAGAAACCACACACACAAAAATTTTTTTTTCATATCACATTGTAGTTGTTGCTGATGCTTTAAAATAGCATTCATTGGATATGATTGCTGGATCTGACACTATGATTATTAGACCCATTGATATACCTTGTTATTTAATGCATCTATAAATAAGTACATATATCACTAAAACACAATTTAAAATCTTTACAACTGATTAATATGATTGCTTATTTTATAATCCTCTGTATTAAAAGTTTTTATTCTAAGAAGGGATCTAGAGGTTCATTTGAATGCCAAAGAGMTCCATCAAACAAAAAAATTTTTAAGACATTGTCTTAGGATAGCTCAGGGCCTAGGATTCTGCAAAACATTTTGAGAGAAACACTGCTTTAGGACAGATGCAAAGACGGAGATTAGGATTCAAAAGAATAAGCACTATAATAGTTCTTGCTACCTGTTGTCAGATCTCTTTCCAAAAAATTATACCAAATTTGCACTACCACGGAAGTGTAAGGACCTACTCATTTCACCATAACCATCCAGGATTGAGCATTTTCACCCTCACTTAGAGTGGATTTCTTATTAATAATTTATTACTTTGTGTTTCTCTGGCTTATTAGAATCCTAGTGCTAAAAGGCACTACAAAATTTATTCAGCCCAGTTCTTGCTACCTAAGATTTTATATAAATGTATTCAATTGTGCCTTTTTTTTTTTTTTTGCCAGATCCATAGAGAAGAGGGAAATACTCATAGCCCCAGTTTTTTCCCAACAGCCACCACCTCCAAAGCTCTCTTCCATTACCTGGATGAAGATTAGGTGTTCCATGGAGACTTAAATGAGATTGCTCCTTCCCTGAGTCCATCTCGCTGCAGTCTGTTCCTGGTGTTTGGTCTGACTTCCACAAGTGACCTAAAAGCTTTTTAAAAATATCAAAAACAACTAACACTTAAAAAAAAAAAGAAACCACACACATTTACTTGTCACTTGACTTCCCGCCTAAAAGTTGTATCAGGATGGACCAGAGCGTCAGGCAAGTTCTGCTTTCTTTATCACACTGTGCAGGTGTGAGCTTGTCCTTGTCGGTGCTGGGTCCTGGTCCTCAAGCATAGGTTCCCTGCTATTTGTACAGGGAACCCCTCCCGAAAGGCAGGTCTCGTACAGCCTCCTGGGCAGCAGTCATTTGGTTCCATCTGCTAGCAAGTGTCTGAATTCCTTTTTAGGACACCAAACAACTGTGCTGCAGGCTGGGTCACACCAGGCTGTGGCTGGACAGATTGCTTTTCACAAACGGAGGTGGCCTAGTGTAGACAGAACGCTGGTCTAGGTTCCCACCAGCTCACTGGTCCAGCACGGAACACTTCTCTTTCCTGCGACTCCCTTCTTTATTTACRAGATGGGCAAAGAATCCCTGCCTTGCCTATTTTATACAGTTATTTTCAAAATGAAATGATGGGGGCAGGGGGCATAGCTCAATGGTTAAGCACTTGCCTAGCATGTGCAAGGCCCTGGCTTCCATCCCAGAGCCACACACACACACATACACACAAAAAAGTGAAAATTATGGAAAATGAAAATTATAAACTGTACTAAATATATAAAATTAATCTTACAATTTTTTTTCCTGGATGTGGAGTTTTCCCTCCTTAATTTATAGAGAAAGAAAGGAAGGAAGGAAGGAAGGAGAAATCTTCCTCTATGTATTGTTAGATAATAGATATAAAGAATCAAATTCCATAAGTGGCTCCAAATAACAAGTGAAATCTACTGTAATTAATGCATGGGAAGGTCAAAAGGCATTTCTTAATTAAATATTGCCATGTTATATCCCAGAAATTAAGTTGAAATCAAAGGAACCATCCTATCTCCAATTGGTCACCCGGCTTGTGAAGGCATGGAGGCCCTGAGGACCATGGTTCAACCAAGCAAGGTGGACCATGGTTTAACAAAGCAAAGTCACTGAGTGCCACTTGGAGCAGGCAGTTAGTCCAGGAGACAAAGAGTTAAGTGTGCTCTAGAGCCCAGTGAAATGAAGATCTTGAATCCCAGCATTGCCATTCTCTAATTCAGCAGCCTTAGGCAGGTTAGATGGCCTTGGAGTCACCTAACAATATTGTCCACTTGCCTGTGACATGAGGACAATATTGATATCTGCTTCAAGGATTTTCTGGGTTGATTAAATCAGATAATTGATATTAGGCGTTTTCTATATGCCTGACATAACGAATAACTGGTGCATAGCATATTGAATGTGCTTAATAAATCTTAGCTGCTTTTACTAATAATAAAAATATAGTAACCAGATTTTGGCAAACCAAGTCAAAGCTTGAATGTATTAAGAAAACTCAGAAAACTAGGTGCTGTGGTGTACTGTAATTCCAGCAACTTGGGAGACTGAGGCAGGAGGATCACAAATCCAAGGCGAGCCTAGGCAATTTAGCAAGACCCTGACTCAAAAAAAAAAAAAAAAAAAAAATATATATATATATATATATATATATATATATTGGTTTGTTTTTTGCAGTGCTGGGGATGGAACCCAGGGCCTCATGCATGCTAGGCAAGAGTTCTCCCACTAAACAACACCTTCAGCCCCCACAGTCTTAATGCATCCGAATTATAAGAGATGGAAATTATCTTGTCTCTTCCCCTTTGTTTACATAAGAAGAAGCTGGGAGGGGAAGGGTTTACCTGCCCAGTATTGTCTTACTTATTGCCAGCAGCACTTCTTACAGATTCTAAGATGGATCATCTTTTTAATGCTTGATCCTGCCTGGGTATGAAAATGTGTGTGTGGTGTGAAGGTAAGAGAGAAACAAGTTTTTAAACACTCTGAAAAGTACTGAGCATGACAAAACTAACACCTGATTACTTGCCACCAAAATTTAACTTGGAGCTGGGCTCATGGTGTCCTACCCCTATAATTCCAGCAGCTCAGGAGGCTGAGACAGGAGGAAGGCGAGTTCAAAGCCAGCCTCAGCAACAGCAAGGCACTAAGCAACTCAGTGAGACCCTATCTCTAAATAAAATACAAAATAGGGCTGGGGATGTGGCTCAGTGGTTGAGTGCCCCTGAATTCAATTCCTGGTAGCCACCCCCCCAAAAAAAAACTTTAATTTGGTTTTTGATGACCAGATCCTAATGGTGAGTGAGCTCTGTTTCTCAATTCCCCAAATTTTCTCATAAGTAAATCTCTGTATCTAAAAATTCACATAACTCAGTGAGTCCCTGCACTCTGTGTTATTTATTTTGAAAAGTTTGTATTCTCAGATATGGGATTTAAAAAACTCAAAGTGACTTTGAAACTTATAAAATAGTATTTTATAATCTAAGCCAATGGTTTAAACATTGGTTTCTTTGGGTTGTTTAAATTAATTAATTTTTTATTTATTTTTTGGTAGAGGGATACAATAATTTTATTATATTTATTAATTGTATGTGGTGCTGAGGATCGAACTCAGGGCCTTGCACATTCTAGGCAAGTGCTCTACCACTGAAACACACCCAGCCCCTGTTTTAATTATTGTTATGTTGTTTCTTAAATTATGATAGTTTCACAAAATAACTTCATAGAAGCCCCCTGGAACACCCCCAAGAGGCTACAAAGGGACTTTTTCAATAGAATTGTCCTTAGAGTCATTATCACCCAGTTCAACGATTCAGCAAGCTTGACTGAATGCCATCTGTACCAGGCTTCTGGACTAAAAAGCTGGGCTCATTGAAGAGAGAGTACACACATCTTTATGGTATGGACTTTCAGAGTCTCCGTAAGTTGATTCCACCCCTGCTCCACATTCCCTACATCTAGAGGCAGAGGATAGAAGACTAGAAGAGGGTGGGGTTTCAAGTTAACATCAAATTGAGGTCAATACTGGGTGGAGGGGGCCCGCTGGAGATACTTTGGAGCAAACTAGATTGGAAGTCAGGCAAGGTGTCTCTGATGTGATAAGCAGACCAGGGCGGGAATTTGGGACAGAAAGAATCACACAGTAAAGTTCTCTGTGTTCAAAACTTAGAGTTATTACCAGAATGTGAGATGTTGGGCGTTAAAACCCAGATATTTTTAACAAATGCCACCTTGTTCTAGAGTTATGTGCATATGTACCTAAAACCTCCCTTTAGGCCACAAACTCCTGGAGGGCAGTTACAGCTGCTGATTCACTTTCTCATCTTCACAGTTTGATTGTGTGGGCAGCATGGCTCACAGTTGTCCCCATGAATGCCCTCCCTCCCTGGACACAAGGTCAGCTTCCTGGACATGSAGGCTGAGAAGGTAGTTGATGTACTCTAAGGGGCTGCTGCTGCTACTGGGGTTGCCTCATGGCAGAACCATCATCCTTCCAGAGTTCTTTCTACTGTCATTCATTCCATGCCCGGCACTGTCCTATGTGCTGGAGATCTAGTGGTTAAAAGACAAAGTCCTCCCAGGGAGCCTATGTTTTAATGGGGACAGATGAACAATAAGCAAACAAATAAAATGTTTCAAATGGGGATGAATACATTGGAGAAAATTGAGCTGGGGATAATAGAATGAGAAATGTCAGGAGGGTTGATAAATACTTTTTTWAAAAAAAAAATGAGGTCTCATTATATTGCCCAGGCTGTTCTCAAAACTCTGTGCTCAAGCAATTCTCTTGCCTTAGCCTGCCAAGAAGCTGAGACTCTAGATGTGCACCACTGTACCTCCCCTGCACTTTTAATAGTGTAGTTAGGTAAGGCTTGACTGTAATAAGACAGAGAAAGGAAGGGGGAGAGAGGCCAGCTGTTTTGAGATCCAGGTGGGGAGGGCACCAGAAATGACCTAAGGAAAGCAGTTTTCCAGGAAGTGGGATCAGAGAGCAGCTTGTTGTCCATTATAGGAAGTTCTGCCCCAAGCATGTGGATAATCACAGGATGGTTTTGAACCCAAGGGTGAGGCGATCTGACTTACATATTTAAAGGATTTTTCTGGTTACTGTGGGGGACAGCAGAAGAAGTGGAAGGGAGACAATCAGAAGTACATTGCAGCAATCTAAGAAAGAGAGGACTCTGGCTTGGACTGCGATGGTAGTGGTGAAGAGGTGGTGAGGTTCTGGAAGGATTTCTAAGTTGGATATGGACTAAGAGACAAGAGTGTCAAGGTAAGGATTTGGTCTGAGCTACTGAAAGGATGGAGTTACCAATGCCAGAGAGGGAAGGGCAGGCTGGGAGGAGAGGATCAGGATCATGTAGAGATCAAGTAGCTTGGATGCACTATCAGATCAGGGAGAACACAGCAAAGGAGCATCCAGTGGGCCAGAAGAAAACCAGAAAATATGTTCTAGAAGCCAAGTGGAAAAAATGTTTTAAGGAGGAGGGTCTGGTCAACTGTGTCAAATTTTGCTAGGATAAAGTAAAGGAGAATTGGCAATTGTCCTTAAAAATGCATTTTATAACACTTCAATTCAATTAAATTAATTACAGACTGTGGCACCCAGAGAGGTAAAAGGTAGCCTTGCTGAGGGCATACAGGTAAGACCACTTACATAATTTGCTGAGGCCTAGTACAAAATGAAAATGTAGGACTTCTCCTTCTAAAATTATTAAGTATTTCAAGACAGCTGCAATGGAAAATTAAGTCCTGCACAGTCCTACTTTTACAAGTGGTCCCCTGGATCCCTGCAGCAAACTTAGTAGCTGTTATTATCCTCATTTGTTAGAGCAAGAAATGGGTACTTAGTGTATTGAGTGATATAAGGAAGGTCACAGAGTTAGCWTGGTAGTTGGGTCTTCAGTCTCCAAGTCTGGCAGTCTTCCTACCAGACCAAACTAGGGAGGAGAGAATTGCTGTCCTGCCTCCTGACCATCTGGAGCAGGAGTATGGATTGAGGCTTTGTCCTTGCATTT